GCCCAATTGCCTGAGCGGTGGCACTTGGTGCAAGCCCACAGCGGCTTCCTCGGCCCCAAGAGAACATCCCTAGAGCTCATGGACACAGCAAGCCGACTGTGGTGCGCCAGAAGCGTGCTCACCCAGCCTGGGAAGGCGCTGGGAGCGAGCACAGAAATGAAAGCTGAAAGCACGGGGGCCTTGAGCCGCCCCCTTGGCTGCGCGCCCAGCCCGCCGAGCCTCGTAGGCAGCCCCAGTTGTTCCTTCGCGGTCTCGCCGAAGTCCCGCTGCAGCGGCGTCTCTCATTCGTTCGTTAGTTCGTCAGGAGGCCGTCGTAAGCGGCAGCGGCGGCGGCGTTCGAGGCACGCTGCAGGCTAAGCGCGTGCTGGCTTGCGGCCCCTGCGAAGGTGCGCAGCAGGGCCCCCGTGGTTTGCTTATTGAGCCCCGTCTTCTGCAGACGTTGCAGGGCACCTGGTCGGTCATCGGCCCGCGCGAGGCGGTTGGCTGGCGCGCCGAAGGCTGGTGGGCTGTCCTCCGTTTCGCCGCACGGCCGCTGGTGCTTGCCGAGCACCGAGGGGGGAGTCCGCGTAGGTGCGCTGCAGGGGCGGCGGCAACACGGCGATCCCAGCTGAAGACCAAGCCGTCGTCTTCGTTGCTTTCAAGTGCCAGCCTCAGGTCGCAAAGGCTCTCTCCAGCGCGGCCAGCGCTTCCACCGCCAGGCCAGCATCGACAACGAGGTAAGTATCGGCCAAACAGACAGACAGACACCCAGTGTCGGGCAGCACCAAGCCCTGCCGTTCGAATCAAATACGAGGTGGGGATTGACCCACATCCACCGCCTGGGAACCGACGTCCTGGGGACCCAGCGGGCGGTGGATGTGGACTTATGTTGGCCCCGGGAAGCCGAAACATATCATACACCCAAATCCGCCGCTTCCGGAGGTCCGCGAAAATCGATCCTCCAGGCCGTGGCTCTGTGTAAGTCCCCGCCTCGAGCCACCGAGCCACCGAGCCACCCCCGGGCACGGCGCGGCGCACCGCTGGTGCGGACGGGGGCCGCGGCGAAGACCGCGCGGACCGCGCGGACCGACCGCTGGTCCCGCGAGAGCTGCTGGGGCCGCAGAGAGGCCGCCGGACCGACGATCAGCAGTAAAAGTACGGAGGAGCCTGGGACGGAACAGCATCCTTCAAGAATATGGGACCCTCCGCCAGCCAAACTGAAGAACCTTCGAGTGTACCCTCCCTCAGGATGCACAAGAACATCCAACAAGCACGAAAAACATGTGGGTACCCTCCAGAAACCCACATCGATCTGATACTTCGCTCCGACCGTACCCCTAATCCTTTGGGAGGGAACCTAAGACAGCTGGGGCAAAAACATTAGGGCTGGGGGAACTTGTTTGAAGATGTCTCAGACAAAACCAACCATCTGTTTCGGGGTACTCTGAAAACCATGACCTCAGTGAGGCGACGAATTCATTGTGCCATTAGGGGTTAAAGGTTGTATTATGCTTAATGAACCGAGGCTCCGAGGCCCAGAGCCTGGCGCCCCAGACTCACGAGCGGAGAGCATATCCGCATCCGCGCCCTCGCGGTCTGGACCCCGGGGCGCGGTCCCGCGGATACGCGGTCGCACGGAGACGCTCCGCGCGGGGCATCCGCGAGAAAGCGCCCCGCATCCGCGGGGTCGCGGCCCAGGGGCCCGGCCCGCGAGGCGGTTGTGCCTCTCGCCCACGAGGGGGTTACGAGGCTCAGAGCCCAGCTCCCCAAACATCCTCTCGCCGTGGACAAATGGAGACGGAAAGGTTTTGCCGAGATCCGGCCTCGGAAAAAGGGTTCGGACCTCTCGGGAGCGGCGATGTGAAAGCCCCGACGTCGGAACTCCGGGATTGTTGGGGAGGGGCACTTTTAGGGGTGAGGGGAAAGGCCGAGAGGGAGGAGGAGAAGGAAGAGGAGGAGGAGAACCGAGGATAATCAAGGATGACTCAGGAGGACCAAGGAGGATCAGGGAAGGAGGATTCGGATGAGGACGAGGAGGAGGATCGAGAAAGGAGGGGGATCGAGGAAGGGGGAAGATCGATAAGCATCGAGCTGGAACGAGGAGGGAGCAGGAAAATGGAGGATGATCAAAGAGGCTCGAGGAAGAAGGAGGATCGATGAGGATTTTCGGGAGAGGGGGAGGAGGAGGATCGAGGGGAACTGGGGATGGTCGGGGAGGATCGGGGAGGATCGAGGAGGAGCGAGGAGGATTCAGGAGGAACGAGGAGGAGGATCGAGGGAAAGGAAAAGGAGGCTGACCGATGAAGGATGAAGAGGAGGAGGAGGAGGAAGAGGAGGAGGATCGATTTGCTGCCCGATGTGCGGGCCCCGCTGTGGCTGGGCCTGCAGCGCACGGCCAGCGCCGTGGGCATTGAGGAGGAGGAGGAGGAGGAGGAGGAGGAGGAGGAGAAGGAGGAGGGGAACGAGGAGAACGAGGAGCAGGAGGAGGAGGAGGAGGAGGAGGAGGAAGAGGAGGAGGAGGGAGGGAGGAGAAGGACGACGTCGACGACGACGACGGAGAGGAGAGGCGGATCTAGGAGGATCTAGGGCACCTGACTTCTCGCATCGCACCCCACGATGTGCGACGCGCGATATCTGCGCCCATACGGGTGACCTAGATCGAAGAGGCGGGCAGGATCGGGGATCGAGGAGCAGCGCTATGGAGAGAGCAGCGAGGCTGAGGAATCGAGGCGGGGAGGAGGAGGATCGAGGAGGGGAGGAAGAGGAGTATGAGGAGTATGAGGAGTATGAGGAGGAGGAGGAGGAGGACCAGGAGGAGGAGGACGAGGAGGAGGAGGAGGAGGAAGAGGAGAATCAAGGAAGTTCGAGTATGTTCGAGGAGGATGTTCGCGATGTTCGGAATACGGGGGCCCGTTTCTTGTAAGAACTGGGCTCGGGATGAAAAACTTACCAGGATGCACTCCAAGAGGGGTCTGGAGGTCTGGGGACCAATTTTGAGTGAATCGTGGTTGAGACCCCGAAGATCGAAGAGGAGGAGAAGGCGGGGGAGGAGGACGACGACGACGATAACGACGACAAAGACAACGACGACGGTATCATCGTTTTGAACGCTTTGGGATGTTTTTAGAGGTTCTTGTCGCCCTGGTTGGGTTGCAGCTCGAAAAACAGGTTATACTAGGGGAAGGGTCCATGGACCAGTCTTGGAGGTTCGAGGGGGATCCAGGAGGACTGAGGATCGAGGGCGACTTCTGGGCCCTTCTGGTCCTGTGTCGGAACCTTCAGAGAAGAAACAACACAAACAAACTATGGATGCCTCCGCGGGCCGCTGGGGGCCTCGAGGGCCCCTGGAAAGAAAGGTGGAAGGGAGAGAGGGAGAGACAAACTAGGCGCGCTCGCGCCATATCTGACATCCTACCCCTCCCACATCCTTTCCCATTGCGCTGACTTTGTTTATATCCGCCGACGGGTGTCATAGCTGACCTGGAACTGACGAAAGAAGGACCCTGCATCGTGCTGTTAGCAATATGAACAGGGGAGCTGTCTACATTGGTGCAGGACGTGGCGGATGAGCAGGAGGATGAGCAGGAGGAAGATGAGGATGAGGAAGGATAAGGAAGATGAGAAACAACAGCAGCAGGAGCGGGACGAGTAGGAGGAACAGGGGAAGCACTCGGATCCTGAAATGTGGCCCCAGCTGGGGCGAGGGCGCCATTCTGAACTGCGGGAGAAAAGTGCCGATACTGAAACGAGGCAAACGCTCCAGACCTTTTTGAAACACCGAGAACATTTCGATTGGGAACGAACATGGAATGAACAGCCATTGACATCCTGTGAAAAACCAAAAATAGACGGAGAGGGCGGGATACTTTGGAGACATAGTCGGAGGAGAGTAGCACTCATATGGAATAATTGCTCAAGGAGGCAGGCAGGACGGCCGACCAGCCTGGCCCTGGCAACCGCTCACATCCGCGGACCAGCGTGGCCGGCGGGGGGCATCGCGGCGCAAACCGAGATGTCCACAAAGGCAGCAAGAAAAGCAAGGGATGGAGGGAGGGGGCGGGGCAACGGAAGAGGACAGGATAGGATAGGACAGGACAGGACAAGATAAGATAGGATACTTAAGATCTGGCTACAGTCTCGGGGAAGGGGACACGCAACCCACTCTGGGCAGGCCACGCTGCCGCCTAATGGCCAGCATGTCTGGGAGCCACGCAGGGGCCACTTGCACTCCCGGGATCAGTGCCACGGCCAGCTGTGCCTCCCGGAGCGCCGTCGTGTCCACGGTTGCTGGACTCGCGTCGACATTCTGGTCAGAGCGTGCCCAGGGAGAGATGCCTGGGATAGGTCTTATTGGGGGAGGAGGGACAGCAGAAGCAGATGCAGGGAAGGAGCAGGAGGAGGCATCTTCTGAGGGAGGAGGGAGGAGGGGGGAGGGAGGAGGGGGGAGGGAGGAGGGGGGAGGGGGGAGGGAGGAGGAGGAGGGAGGGAGGAGGAGGAGGAGGAGGAGGAGGAGGAGGAGGAGGAGGAGGGAGGACGGAGGGAGGAGGGAGGACGGAGCAGGGAGCAGGGAGGAAGGAAAAGGAGAAGGGCTGTTTGCCACAACAGTGACAACACGCGACGGCGCCCGCCGTCCACGCTGGGGCAGCGCAGAGAGGGAGAAAGCGGGAGGAGCAGGAGCAGGAGGGGCGCGAGCAGCAGCCCGAGGCTGCTCGGAGCGGGAGGGGTTCGTTTGAGCTGCGGCGCCTTGGATCCAAGCTGCGGCGCCCTGGGCCCAAGGTGGGTCCAAGTTGCGGCGCCCTGGGTCCAAGCTGCGGCGCCTTAGGTCCAAGCTGCGGCACCGCGGCACTGCGGAGCGAAGCAGGCAGGAGACGCAGGGAGGCAGGGGCGGCGGGAGGAAAAGAGGGAGCACGAGGAGCAGGGAAAGAGCAGGGAAGGGCAGGAGAGGGCATGGAGCCGTGGGAGGTCGCCGGGGCGACGGCGCGGCGGCGGCGACGACCAACGGCAACGGCGAACGCGGCGGCGAGCCCTCCTGCGTCAAATGCGCCACGAGATCGTCGTGCTTCTTGTTGTAGGCCCTGCGGTGCGGCGACGGCGACAACGGCGACAACGACAACGAGAACGAGAACGAGAACGAGGACGAGGACGAGGACAACGACGACGACGACGACGAGGATGATGACACCTCCATGGGCTGCACGCGCTTCGCAGCGCTCAGCGCGTCGTCGTCGCCGCCGCCGTCGTCCTCGTCTTCGTCCTCGCCGTCGTCCTGGGGAGAGGCCAGAGCGATGCTGCCGATTGTGCCCTCCTCGTCTCCCCCCAGAGGGGTCGTCGCCGTAGTCGTCGTCGCCTTCTGTTGAGGGGAAACGTCAGGGTGTGCCAGCTCAGGATGGAAAATATCGAGCTGGAATCGGCGACACCTTGCTGATTGATCCGCGACAGGCCCCCAACAGCGAACCACGTTCCTGGGCGGGTTGGGCGATCGACTTATCCTCATCACCATCACCACCACCACCCCAATCATCATCATCATCATCATCATCATCATCATCATCGTCATCATCATCACGTCATCGTCGTCGTCATCATCGTCATCGTCGTCGCCGTTGTCGTCATTATCATACTCATCAACACCATTAACATCATGAGCACCACCACCATCAACATCATCAGCATCAGCATCGGCATCACAATCGTCACCATCAGCATCAGCCGTAGCCGCATCATCCTCGTCGTCGTCGACCTCGCCACAACCTTCATAATCATAATCAGCCTCACCATTATCCCCATCAGCAGCATAATCATCGTCGCCAACAGCATCACAGCCATCATCACAAACGTCAGCATCAGCATCATCATCAGCAGCAGCATCAGCAGCATCACCAGCATCATCATGATCATCGTCGTCGTCTTCATCGTAAGCACAGGTGCCATCATCATCAGCAGCATCATCAACGTCATCGTCAGCATCATCATGATGCTATTCCTCAGCAGCTGTAGCACCATCATCATCATCATCAGCATCATCACCGCCATCCTAATAACCATTACCAACAGTATCAGCATCAACAGCAGCATCAGCATCGCCATCAGCATCAACATCACCATCATCGTCGGCATCATAATCGTCATCCTTATCATCATCAACAGCAGAATCAAACTCAGCAGCCACATCACCATCGCCATCGTCATCGCACCAGCATCAGCATCCTCATCAGCATCAGCATCATCGGTCCCATCATCACTATGATCATCAGCATCAGCACCAGCACCATAAACATCAGCATCAGCATCAGCGTCAGCATCAGCTCGTCATCAGCAACATTAGCATGATCATACGTATCATCAGCATCATCATCAGCACCATCAGTATCACCGTCATCACCGCCATCATCATCAGCATCATCACCAGCAGCAGCAACAGCATCACCATCATCACTGGAATCGACTTGCCGCGTCCGTTCTCGGGCCCGTAATGCCTGGATGGAGTCGTTCTCCAGTCGCTGGTGGCCGTCGCACCCGCGGGGTTCTTCATCACCTGCAATTCGCAACCGATGGTCATCGGCATCCACATTATGTACGGACGTCGCTGAAACGACAGAGGTGGGGTTCTAGCTGCGGTCGTTGTCTTTTCTCGTCTCTTCACTCCACGCGGTGCGAAGTCATCGTGCGTCAGGTTACCGGGAGGAGAGCCACCCATGCTGGCTGGGCTCCAAGCGTCCCTCGAACGCTGGCGGCGTCGGCGCCAAGCAGTCAATGGGCTCGGCATTCCCATATGGTGCCACTGTGCCAGCAGCGTCGTTTGATCTGGTGCGCAGTCTCGCGCTCTCAAGTGTTGTCGTAGTCGTGTGGTTCTTCGGGGTGCGCACCATCGTTGGGGCATTTCATCAAGAAGAGCTTCATCGGAGAATGTTGCATTGGGTACGACATCGCAGAGTACTTCACCGCGGGGTGCCTCATCGCAGCATGCTTCACCATGGAGTGGTTCGTGAGGGGTGTTTCGCTGCTGGGAATGTTATGGGACGTGCTGCATCGAGGCGTGCTCCATCATGGCGCGCTTCACCGAGGCATGCATCTTCAGGAGGTGGCGTGTTTCATCGTGGAGTGGTACGTCGTGGAGGAATTCATCGTGGAAGGCTGCATCGCGGTCTTCATCGGGCTTGCGTACTCCATCATGGACGCGTACTTCATCGACGAGGGTTCCTGGAGGGCAGCATTATGGCGTGCTTCCTCGAAGAGGCCTGCTTCAAGGTGGCGTGCTTCATCGTGGTGTGATTCACGAAAGCGATGTCACGGAGGAGTACTTCCTGGCGTTGTGTTTCACCGAGTGCGTGCGCGCTTCACCGTGTCGAGGTTCATCCGGGAGGTCTTCATCGAGGGCTTCCTCGTCGTGGCGTGGTTCATGGTGCAGTAGTACACCGTGAAGGCTGGTTCGGGGATGCTTCATTGTGGCGTGCCTCATCGGAAAGGTGCTTCACGGAAGCGTGCTTCGTTGTTGAGTGCCTCAAGGAAGCGTGCTTCCCGGCGTTGTGCTTCGTGGAGGCGTGCGTCCCAGAGTGCTTCACAAAGGAGTGGTTCACCAAGAACGGCGTCACCAAGAAATGCTTCACAAAGGAGTGCTTCCCGGAGTGATTCACCAAGGAGTGCTTCGGCGTGGATTGTGTCATCGTGGAGTGCTTCATCAAACAATGCTTCGTGGAGTGCTTCATCGTGGAGTGCTACATCGTGGAGTTTTGTCACTGTCGTGGACGGCCTTCATTGTGGAATTCTTATCGGGGAGTACTTCATCGGAGAGTGCTTCATCACGGGGGTACTTCAGCAGGCGTGCTGCATCATGGCTTACTTCATCATGACGTGCTTCCTGAAGGCATGCTTCGGGGAGGGGTGCCACAGGAGGCATGCTTCACGGAGGAATGCTTCATGAAGTCCCTCCTTTTCTTGGTGATGACATTCTGTGGGTCATCATCTCCGCAGTCGCCATGTCTCGACCGTCCTCGGACCCGCACTGCCTATCTGGAGTCGATCTCCAGTCACCGGTGGCCGTCACGGACCATCTGGCAACCGTTGCGGCTACACCGCGCGGTTGCGGCTTCCCGTGAGATCCAGACAACGCGGAGGTTCTTCATCGATCGTCATCATCACAACCACCACCATCATAATCGTCATACTCATCACCAATCACCCATCACCCAGGTATAATCATCATCATCAGCATCATAACCACCATCAGCATCATCATCATCATCATCATCATCATCATCATCATCATCATCATCATGATCATCATCATCATCATCATCATCATCATCATCATCATCATCATCATCATCATCATCATCGTCATCATCATCATCATCATCATCATCATCTGCAGCAGCATCAGTATCATCATCAGCATCAGCATCATCCTCGTCATCATCACATCATCATCCGCATCATCATAATGATAATCATCTTCATCATCGTGATCCTCATCATCAGCAGCATCATTATCGTCGTCGTCTTCGTCATCAAAGTAATCATCATCATCATCATCACCACCACCAACATCATCATCATCATCATCATCATCATCATCATCATCATCATCATCATCGTCGTCATCGTCATCAACATCCTCATTATCATCATAATCGCCATCATCAAAAACATCAATATGATTGACATTGTCATCGTGGTCGTTATAATAACCATCGTTATCGTCCCGGGAATGTAATGCTAACAATTACCGTCAACAGCGTTATCATCGTCAGCGTCATCGCCATCGACATCACGATGACAACCACGACCATCAGCATGATCAGCATCATTGACAACATCAGCATCGGCAGAATCATGCTCAGCAGCAGCATCGCCACCACGATCACCACCATCGTCATCATCACCACCACCACCAACGCAACCATCATCATCATCATCATCATCATCAGCATCAGCATCAGCACCATCACCACCGCACATCATCATCATCATCATCACCGCACACCATTATCATCATCAGCATCATCAGCATCAGCATCAGCATCAGCATCAGCATCATCAGCAGCAACATCAGCATCAGCATCAGCGTCAGCATCAGCATCAGCATCAGCATCAGCATCAGCATCATCATCACCATCATCATCACCATCACCGTCACCATCATCAGCATCATCATCATCATCATCATCATCATCATCATCATCATCATCTGCAGTAGCAGCATCAGCAGCATCAGCATCCGCCTTCTACCCCTCCTCCTCCCCCTTCTCCTCCCTCTCCTCCTTCTCCTTCCCCTCCTCCTTCCCATCCTCCTCCTCCTCCTCCTGCTCCTCATCCTCACCATCATCATCATCAGCATCATCAGCATCATCAGCATCGTCATCGTCATCATCATCATCATCATCATCATCATCATCATCATCATCATCATCACCATCCTCAGCATCATCAACATCACCATCGTCATCATCGTCATCGTCTTCATCAGCGTCGCAGCATCAACATCAGTATCGTGCCGTTCACCCCGAGCCGTCTTTGACGGCCCCAGGGCCTGGCAAGGACCCTCGGAGGCCGAACAAGAACTGGAAACCTTATCGCATGCTTTTCACGACGCGAGAGGGCCTGGGCCTGGCGGTCGAAGGTCGCCCCCCAGACGTCTCCGGGGCCGCGTCGTCGCCAGAACTCCGAGGAAGCATCAAGCCGTTGCCACGAGGGGCCTCCCGGAGGCCCAAAAGCGGGTGGCCAAATCCGAGCCCTGCTCCCACCTCCCATCGATTCATGGGCTCGGAAGTCGGCACGTACGGGGGACACAGCTTCATGTCCATGGCCTCGCGGTCCGGACTCCTTGGCCACGGCCCTGTGGATGCAGGGCCGCTCTGCGCGGATGCCCCGCGCGGAACGCATCCATGGGATTGCGCATCTGGGGGGGGGCCTCGGCATCCAGCCCGCGAGGGCCTGGATATGGATATGTTCGTCGCGTGTGCATCCTCCTTTTTTTCTTTGCAAGCGCTAAGGGAACGGTGGCAGTGGCACGAGGCAGTCTATCAGTTCGACCACCTCGAGTGGAGGTGTGGCGCGCGAGTGAACAGCAAGCGGTCGG